GTTCCCATCAAGCTGCCCTGACATCAATGAGCCCCCCCACACTTTGGCTCTTGGCCTTCTCATCACCTGGGAGCCGAAAGGCAGAGGGCCACAGCTGGTTCCGCGGCAGGCAGGCCCTCCAACCCGCTGCCGGAGGCCCAGGGGAACCTGGGTGTGGATAGGTCCTCAATGCCCACCTCTCTACCTCAGGGCCAGGGGAGGGAGGGAGGGAGGGAGGGAGCCTCACCTGCAGGGCCACGTAAGCAGCTTCGGCGGCCTCCTTGTGGCTGTAGTTGACGAAGGCACAGGACTTGTGAGGGAGGCACCGGATGGAGTCAATGGGTCCAAACCTGCCCCAGACACGAAAGTTGGGTGTCAAAGTTGGTCTGCCCTAGAGGCCCCCTTACTTCCATGGGGTGACTACTGGTCACCAGAAGGGAGGGGGGGGATAAGGAGGGAAGGATCCACAAGCCCCCCCCCAGATACATTTACCCCGCCCCCAAGAGCAGACCAACTTACGGCTGAAAATAGCGAAGCAGGACATGCTGGGTGATCCTGGGCGCCAGGTTCCCCACCCAGACGGCAAACCAGTCCCTGCAAGGGAACATGTGGGTTACATGCCTCAGGAACGGGAGGCCCCACCCGAGCCTCCACCGACCACTAGGCCGCTCTACCCTCACCCAGTTCCAACGGGACCCCTGCCTCAAAGGTCTGGGGGAATGCATCGGACCAGCCCACCTGCTCCTGGGCAGCGGCCATCGCGAGGGCAGAGCCGCGGCAACTGAGCCAATCCCTCACCCCTCCCGAGGAAAGCAGCGTTGGGAGGGGGCTCCCTTTTCTCCTCCCCCAACCCCGCAACCCGTCCTTGGCAGTTTGGGAGCGGCAGCTGGCAGGCTCTGGGTTGGCGGACCAGCTGCAGCGCTCTCTGGATTTGACAGTGGCGATCCACCCCTCTGCTGCGGAGCTGGGCCTGGGACGATCCAGCCTTGCCTGCCCCGGGGCCTTTCTGGGTCTTTGTGCTGCAGCTCTGGGACCGCAAGGTTGCCTCAGTGCTAGGAATCTGCCCCCCCACCCAACCCCCCCCGGGGCAGGAAGGCCAGTTCCGCAGCTGCTGAGTTTATGGAAAGAAGGGGCGTAGACCCAGCCGTGAATAAGGTCCCCTGAGCAGCGGAAATGGCCCAGAAGAGAGAGAGAGAGAGAGAGAGAGAGAGAGAGAGAGAGAGAGACCGGCCTGGTGAGGCCTAGAGAAGAGTCTACACAAAGAGCCAGAAGGAGGCAGGGAGCTGTTGAGAAGGAACAGCGGAATGGACACAGATTCTTCCTGGAGGGAAATCGACCGTTCATTGTGCTTGGATCCTGGCCGAACGTTGCTGTTTTTAGATCAGGGGGGTCCCCAAACTTGGCAACTGGTGGACTTCAACTCCCAGAATTCCTCAGCCAGCACGACAGCCGTGTGTTGTGGCCCTAAAGCGGAGGTCTCCAAACTCGGCAACTTTTAAGACGTGCAGACTTCAACTCCCAGAATTCTCCAGCTAGCAGAGCAGAGCAGAGCATAACCATAGCAGGCTGGAGAATTCTGGGAGTTGAAGTCCACACCTCTTAAAGTTGCTGAGTTTGGAGACCTCTGTTTTAAGAGTCAGTCTGTGCCCACTCCCCCAAACGGACCCTGACCCTGCTGGGGCTGCCTCGGCTCACGTGCAAGGAAGAAACCCCAAATCTTCCGGTTAGATGCTTCCTCCCGCTTTCCAGGGCTTCCTGCTCCTCACCTGCCTGGGGCCTTTGCAAGTGGAAGTGCCAGCTGGGTGGTGGCAGTGGCCTGGGCACGGCTGTCTGGGTACCGCTGCCCGCCTGCCTGCTTTCCTTGACCGGCAGGGAGAAAAAAAGAGCGACAGGTAAGGAGGGCCGGCGATGGCATGGTCTCTGTACACCTGCCAGGCAGCCACTGTCCACCTGTGCCCATCATTGGGTGTTAGAACTGACCAGGCACTGACCTCCTGAGCTCCAACCCCCCCCCGCCCCCCCCCACCAAAACTACTTACCAGGCAGAGGCAGCTGTGTTTCCACAGGCAGCGTGTCCCAGTTACGGCGGAAGCAGTCCAGCCGGCTCTCCTGCCAAAGAAAGGGGACCGGCTGAGTCTCGGCCAGTAGTGCAGCAGTCCTGGCCGGCTCTTTCACACAAGGCGCCATTCTCTCCCCGGATGAAACCAACAACCGCCACAAGCGAAAGATGTTATCCGTGGGATTGGGGAGTGTGTGTGCGTGCTATACCTCAGTGTCTGGAGAAGCCAGCTGTGCTCCTGATGCCACCACAATAGGATGTGATGGCCTGCACGTCAGGTGAAGCTGGCCATTCATGCATCATACGTTGCACTGCTCAGCATGCTGGGTTGATAGCAGTATTGTTAAGCCCAGCAGGGCTTGTCTGCTCGGGGCAGAGACCCACAAACTGTGGCTTGAAGGCAGTCCAAGGTGGCTTATTGGCCGAGCCAGGGAAACGATCCCACTGACCCCTCTGAGAGATCTCTGGGGGGGGTTTCTCTGCTGCCCAGGGAAACGATCCCACTGACCCCTCTGAGATCTCGGGGCGGGGGGGTTCTCCACTGCCCACGTTAGGAAGGCAGGAGAGAAAACCAGGCGCCGGAGCCACCAGCTAAGGGGCCCAGGAGGTCTCCCCAGAGGATGCAGGGGAGGGTCCCTTACACAGGGAGGCTCCCCCCAAGGGGTGCAGAGGGCATCCGTTAAGGGGAACAGAAAGGGCCCGCTCGGAGAGGCTGGCTTGCCCCCTCAAGGCCTCCTCCCGGCCAACCGGCCGTTTACCTCCACCGAAGCCAAGCACACAGGTTTGTCTCACGGGCCAAACGCCCGCCTGGCTTGGGCCAAACCGTCCAGGCAAGCCTGCCGGGGGAACGACCCGGCTTGACCTCGAGAGCCCAGCTAAGAAAGGAAGCCCCCTTGCCCCTCCTCGCTCACCAGGGAATGCTGGATCTGGCACTTCTGGAGCTGGATGGCGGCATCGCCGCGGAAGCCATCGAAGGGCAGGAGTTGCTGGAAGGTCCTTGCCGCCTCTGCGTATTGCTGGGGATTTGGGGGGGTGGGGGTGGAACAGACAGGAGAGAGTCGCCCGGGGTCCCACAGGGCCCTCCCCGCCCCGCCCCCTGTCCCTCTAGCCCCTCTGGATTACCTTGAGGCCTAGGAGCGCCTTGCCCTGGCGAAAGAGGCCTCTGGGCCAGCCCGGCTGCAGGCTCAGGGCCTGTTGCGCGTCCCGCAGGGCTGCCGCGTGGCTCTGCAGCTTCTCGTAGCAGAAGGAGCGGTTCCCAAAGAACCTGGGGGCAGGAGGGGGGGCAGAGGTCAGGCAGGCGCTCTTCCTCCCAGGGAGCCCTGTCTGTGGCCACTTACCCGCAGCCGGTATCGCCAGCGGAAAAATTTGCATCACACACACACGCACACACACACACACAGAGGCGGCGTGGAACTTTCCAAAGCCCACTCCAGGCAGAACTTGCTCCTCCCCCAGGCAGCCCTGAGGCTCAAGGCCGGGAGCAGAATCCAGCCCAAAATGATCCGGTCCCTTCCTCTCCCTCTTACGATCAGCTCAGGGCTACCTTCCAAACGCTCGGCGCAGGCCCCAAAGCCCCCGAGGCCCAGGGCCTGAGGAAGGGGAGCCCAGCGTTCGCTCTCCCCGCAAGGACCCAGGTGTGAAGGCTCGGAAGACCACCTGGCTGTGCGATGGGACCCTCTGGGGCCCCTGGGACCCCTCTCTCTCCCTCCGTCCTGCCTCCAGCACAAGGTTCTTGTGGAAAGAAACGAGGAATGGCAGTGCCGGGGCACGGATTCCTTTGGGGAAGGAAGGAGGGCCCAAGAGCAGCCTCTCGAGCTTTGTCCCCTTGTTGACCCCGGGGTGCTCAGGACAGGGTCCAACCCAGCCGTCGTGCGGATTCGGCTCAGCTTCTCTGCCTCCACAGCTGCCTTCTGCGCTGGAGGGAACATCCACGCCCTTGGCCACTGACCCTTGGCCACCCAGGACGGGGATGGGGCAAGTTGACAGCACAAAATGAAGCGAGGGATGGCAGGGCGCTCGAGTGGCGGTCGCTAAGCCCTCCCCTCACATCCGACCCTAGCAAGCAAAGCATTCCCCCACATTGTCGGAAAAGGGCCAGCCCGTTTCTCTTGGAGCAAGCAGCTCGCTTCCCAAGGAGAGCGAACGGCTGCAAGCCACCTCTCAAAAGCCCACCCACCCCCGTGCCTCTTAACTACCCCCCCCTCCCCCGCCAGCAAAAAGCCAGGCCGGTGACTGACATGCTCCATTTGAAGGACCAACAGGGATGAAACCGTGACATGGAAGAGAAACCGCAGATGGCTCCTCCGGGCGCCCGCTGGGGCTGTGCAGTCCCTTCCAACCTTCCTGACAACATTGCTCCAGGATTGCCCCTACCTGCCCACCCCTCTGAGTTTCTGCCACCCCCAGCCTGTCCCGTCCGTGAGAGATCCAGCTGCCTTGTTTTCAGCTGTCCTCTCTGTTGGTTGCCTTCAACCTCTGGGACCCTTCCCTGTTGATCTCTGGGGGGAGCAGCCATGTGATGTCAGGTGTCTCTGCCACTTCAGAATCCAGCTTGCTCGCCCGGTGGTTCTGTGTGGCCTGCAAACCTTGATCTCAGCAGAACTGGAGATAAATACCCTTCACCCATTAGCACTTACCCCTTCTTCATAGGGAAAGGTTCCCCTTGCACATACGTGCTAGTCGCTTCTGGCTCTAGGGGGTGCTGCTCATCTCCGTTACAAAGCCGAAAGAGCCAGTGCTGTCCGAAGACGTCTCCGTGGTCAGGTAGCCGGCATGACTAAACGCCCCCAAATTTTCTTACGGACCACCAGTGGTCCACAGCCCACTGGTTGGCGACCACTGGTTTAGACATCCTATCTTCCTAGATTTGGGGAAGAGGCTTTGTTGTATCATTTTTCACAATCTGAGCTGCAGCCAGAACCAGGTCTTGTTTTTGCTGGCTCCTTCTCCATCTTTGCTAGTCGACTCACTTTCTGGTGTCATCTTTAGGCCGCCGGAAGGTGATGTTGGCTACGAGCATTGCATTTCCTTGGATGGATTTTCTTCTCCCCTTTGTTTTGCCAAAGGCTGAAATTGCTTTTATTCCAGGCATGATTTTATGTCCTAACTTAAGCATTTCCCTCTGTTAGATGTCACAAAGAGTTCCAAATCACCGTAGAACCGTTCGGCCTCCACTTCCTCTGCACTGAAGATGGAAACACCGGAGCAGCCTGGACTCAAAACGCCGTGGTGGATTAAGGCTCACTGGTGCCCTAAACACTGACAAATCTTGGCGCCTGCCTTCTTTGTAAGTACTGTACAAACAAAGCCATCTTCCCAACTTGCACCAAGACAAATTCCTCGTGTGTCCAATCACACTTGGCCAATAAAGAAGAACTTTCTGGTGCCCCCTTTGGGCCTGGTGCCCTAAGCACATTGTTTAGTCTGCTTAATGATTCATACACCACTGTGAGTCAAAGATTTTGAGGGTTGTGTTCGAGTACTAAGTTTTAACTAACTAACTGACTGACTCTCTTTATGCGGAGGGACTCATTCCTGATTGTTTCAGTTTGCTGGCTCTCCAAGGGACAAGGCTGACTCTTGACCTCTCTGCTCAAGCAGGCGACGTTTCTCCGGGCCAAGGATACGCAGGCAGAAGCAACGTCTCTCCACGGCAGCTGGGCGCCCTCCTGGAGATCATCCGGACACCCCGAGAGGCCCCAGGGCTGGCCCCGCTTGCTCTCAACTTTCCTAAGCCTTCTACTCATCTTTCCAGGGTAACGCTGGCATTGTCCTTAGCTGTGTGCTTGGGCTTGCTGGAAGGGGTTCTCCAGCAGATAGAAGAGACCCCGGTGGGGAAGGGGAAAGCCTGCAGCTTTGTTCTTTCTTCTTTCGGAAGGGGCAGGTGGAGTGATAAACCAGACGGGGCCGCCGAAGAGAAAGAGTTGAGCGTTGTCATCCAGACAGAGGAGCCGGCAAACTTAGCCTGCCAGTTTTAAAAGGCGGTTTGCCCTGCTGCAAAGACTGGCCTCCTCCTGCTCCCGCCCACTGAGGACAGAGCCGGGATACGAGCCAGATTAGGCCAGGCATTCTAGCCACCACAGGCCTAAGATGCAGGCCTCCGTCCAGGTGGGGAGAGAGAGAGGGTAAAATGAGAGGCCCTTGGGGGGCTGCTCCTCCTGAACCATCAGAAATGCTCTTCTCCTCCTCTTCCTCCTCCTCTCCCTTTGCTAGGGCTTTCCCAGAAGGGGGAGGGGAACGGGGGGGGGGCTCCTCTCTAAATCACAGCACGTAAAGTGCTTTTCCGATAAACAGCTGGCAGCCTCCTTAATTTAACAAACTATTATGCATTTTTTATTTACCTGCCTTTTCCTAACACACCAAATGCAGAGTCTGCCTGGCAGGGACGCGTCTTACTTCCTTACTCCTCCCTGGCTAGATCACGTATATGTCTTATCGCTACGCTGAAATTCTTACAGCTCCTTTCAGTATCTCCGTTTCTGGCTGGCTTACAGCCCAGAGGGATGGGGGTGGGGGGGGAATGGCAGGAGGGGGGGGAGTCACCGTTTCCTGAATTTTGGCCAAGCCTTCCGTGTGACTCTCCTTTGCAAAGGCAGCGGTGCTTTCCAAGGCCAGCTGACTCTGCAGGGCTCCCTTTCTGGTATTGCCGGCCCCTCCTTTCTCCAGGGGAGCTTCCCCTCCCTGGCTCCACACAGCACAAACACAACACCGACCTCCCCTAACAACGCCCTGCATTTCTTAACAGATATCCACCATTTTATAAATCTCCAACAAAATGCGTGTGTGTGTGTGTGTGTAGCGAAGCCAGGCACGTACCAATGCGCCTTAATCAAGCAACAAGAAGCTTCTTGCACAAGACATTCCATAGTTTGCCAAACAGCCAAAACTCTACCCTCAAGGCGGGCTGGCCACACCGGGCATCCTGGTCCCCGGCAGCCAGCTTCTTAGCGGGCTTAGTCCCCCCTTAGGCAACCCCCTCCCATCAGGTCCTACGGTTCAGGGGAGATCAGACAGGTCCTTGGGGTCCCCTCGGGGGTGTGGCGCCCCTTCTCTTGCTCCCATCCCCGGGACACCAAGCGGGAGCGGGGACCAGCCTACCAGCGCCCCCTCCCAGCCAGAGTCCTTCCTTCCCACCTTTTCGGAGGGAGAGGTGTGTGGAAGCAGGAAGCAAAGCCGATTCCCTCCTCCCTGCAGCCGGCACTCCAAGCCCTGAGTGCCGAAGGAACGGGCTGGTGGGCTCAGAAAGGCTTCCCAAGGCATGAGGTCAATCAATCAATCAATCAGAGTAAGAGCTGGAAGGGACCCTGGAGGTCTTCTAGTCCAGCCCCCTGCTCAAGACAGGGGGCTCCTCCCCTGATTATTTTCCATCCATTGCTTCTTGTCTTGCCTTCTGGGGCTTTGGAGAATAGCTTGACCCCTTCCTCTTCTTTGGAGCAGCCCCTCGGATATTGGAACATGGCTGTCGTGTCACCCCTAATCCTTCTCTTCTCTAGACTGGCCGTACGCAATTCCCGCAACCGTTCTTCGTCAGTTTTTGTCTCCAAGCCCGAAGTCACTTCTTCAATGCCGCTGCAACTTCAAACAGTCACTAAAGGAACTATTGTAAGCCAAGGACTACCTGCATTTGTACTCATTTGCCATTGTCTGGTTGTCTGCAATCCCATGGAGCAGGGGGTCTCCAACCTTGGCAGCTTCAAGACCCGTGGAGTTCAACTCCCGGAGTGCCTCAGCCAGCGAAGGTCTGAATTGATTTGTGTTGAGGAGGACGCATATTTTGACACGGGTGGCTCGGTGGCTAAGACGCTGAGCTTTTGTCGATCGGAAAGGTCGGCAGTTCGGCGGTTCGAATCCCTAGCGCTGCCACGTCATGGAGGGAGCTCCCGTTCCTTGTCCCAGATTCTGCCAACCTGGCAGTTCGAAAGCATGTAAAAAAAAATGCAAGTAGAAAAATAGGGACCCCTTTGGTCGGAACAGCGTTCCGTGCGCCTTTGGCGTTTAGTCATGCCAGCCACATGACCACAGACAGAGACATCTTCGGACAGTGCTGGCTCTTCGGCTTTGGAACGGGGATGAGCACCACCCCCTAGAGCCGGAAACTACTAGCACGTAGGTGTGAGGGGAACCTTTACCTTTACCTGGACTTCGGTCAGGAAGACTTGGCTGCCACCATCCTCCTCATCCTGGCCATTCACAGGCATTTCACCTCATTTGGACACAGTAGGGAAGCCCTTAGAATGGCTTGTGGGAAACAGGATGAAGGCCTAGGCAACAGTCTACAGACTGTAACAGGAGTTACTTGATCCACAAACTGTTTTACACACGTTCCCCTGCCCCTTGTGCTAGATGCCCCCAGAAGCCAAAGCTTCTTCCTGCCCATGAGCACCGTTCCTTCTCGAGACCAAATTCAGGCTGAACAACTGCCTGTACTGGGGGAGCTGAGAGGGTGTGTATGTGTGTGCGTGTGTCAACCGAATACGCTTGAATTCAAGTCCAGACGCACCGATGCCATCCAGACTTCTGGGGTGGGGGTGGGGGCAAGGCCCCCCCAACAACCCGACCTCACCTGTATTCCTGGGGGTTCAGCTTAATAGCTTCGGTAAAGAGGAGCACGGCCTGATGGAAGAGCCCCTGCTTGGCGGTTTCATTTCCACAATCTGGAGGAGAAAAGGATGATTTCAAACGAGGAAAAATTGTGATCGCAGAGGTGGAATTAACCTTCGGACTGTCTAGGAATCAGAGGCCTCCAAACTTGGCAAGTTTAAAACTTGTGGACTTCAACTCCCAGGATTCTCCAGCCAGCATAACCCTCTTTTTCTCTGTTCTTGTCCCTTCATGTATGAATCTTTCCAAGCTCCATGAAGGAAATTGAGGCTAAATCCATTTCGTTGCATATATATGTACAATGACAATCAAGATTATTATTAATTCCCAGAGAGAAAGTTTTCCTGGGCGCCCATCCACACCCCAAATGGATTATTCTGGAATCTCTCTTAGAAAGGGGCAGTCAACTGCTACTGCTGCAATTATATTCTAATTATTTGGGAGGTAATCTACAGTCAGATTCACCGTCTAAGACTGGTGGGAACTTTGTAATTCAAGTCCCAACCAAGGACCTAAACTACCCTCTAAGAATATGGGCAATCGGAAGCAGGATGGGTTACTCTTTGTAAAATATTAGTCCTGTAAAATTTCGATAATTTCACTATTTCCAAAGAGCGAGGAAATCCTTTAATGATGACCCCAAGGGATCCAGTCAAGATGAGCAGAACAACAAATTCCTTTTTGTTATCGTTTTCACGATTACTGAAAGTAATACTAAGTTAAGTATTTTTACGCCTTATTGTAAGCTGCTTCAAAATTGCCAAGTTTGGGGACCCCGGGTCTAGGTGAAAGCTAGGCAGTTCCCCAAATGTCTCCAGGGGTTCTTGGGATGCTCTGCCCCAAATCCTTAAAGACAGGAAATGCAGGGTAACTCTGTCGTAGTGGACGCACCAATTGGACTTTTTTAAAAGAAAAAAAAAGAAAAACAGGCCTCCGCAAGAAATGAACGACCTATCCAGGTTGTCCCACTTGGAATAACTACCCTGCCCATGACTGATCTCCCCCCGCCCCAACAATCGTTAAATGCATCCCTCCAACTTATCAAACTTTCCTGCCCGGCCCTCACCCAACCTAGACCAAGGCTCTGCACTCTGCAAGCAAAAAGAGCCCCCACCCAGAACCTCCATGGAGGGACCTGCGGCCCTGTTAGCCTGTGCCCTTCCAACGCACAGCCCTCCCGTTGGAAGGGGCTGGGAAGCCCTCCCCCCTACCTCAAAATCAAACCCAGCCCAGGAGTCGGGAATCAGACCAAGTAACTCCCTAGCTGCCCTTGAAGAGGGGCCATTATCGCCCCCAGCCACCTGGTCTCAAATCTCTCCCGTGGGACTTAAGGTTCGAGCCCCACCTCCAGCCCCGATCGGCCTCCCTGAACAAGTTCATGTTTCTATGAGTCTTTTTTTTATAGCTGGTGCCAAGAACCGGCCGCAGTAGCTGACCGAGGCGGACTCAAGTCGAGGCAGGAGCTTTTCTGGGATTGTAGAAACTGTCGTTTTGCAGAGGTGGCCTAAGCCTCCATGGGCCTCTTTGCAGCTGCTCCCCATGGCTGGCTCATATTCCCTCTGCTATCTAATCCTATTCTAAAACAGTTTTCACCGCTATCGTTATCGAGCAGGGTCCTCTATTCTGCAAGCATGTGTTTGGTTTTTGTTCTTTCGGTGGAGGGTTGGTTTAAATTTCATTTTTTTTTTTAAAAAAAAATCAGCTCATCTTCCTACTCCAAAGGTCTTCAAACCTGGCAAGTTTAAGACTGGTGGACTTCCATTCCCAGAATTCCTGACTGGAGGAGGAATTCTGGGAGTTGAAGTCCGCAAGTCTTAAAGCTGTCAAGTTTGAAGACCCCTGTTCTAGTCCAACCCCGTGCTCCAGCAGGAGATGCTTACAGAATCATAGAACAGCAGAGTTCGAAGGGACCTTGGAGGCTATCCAATCCAACCCCCTGCTCCAGCAGGAGACCTTCTATCATTTGGATTATTTTGGTGCCTCTAACAGAGAGGAAAATTGGCAGAATAGAACAGCACAAGGGTCTTTAAACTTCTTTAAGACTTGTGGACTTCAACTCCCAGAATTCCTGAGCTAACGTGCTGGAGGAGGAATTCTGGGAGTTGAACCCCACAAGTCTTAAAGCTGTCAGGTTTGAAGAGCCATGCCCTACCCCTATCTAAGTAATTTTAAACTTCATTCTGTCTTCTGGGGAATTCTATCCCTCAATTTTACGCCGCCTGAAAACACGATAAGCACAACCTATTGCTTCGTTCTATTTAGTAAGGGGCCCCGAATTAAAGTTTGCAGCACCACACTTTTTCCAATAGGGCGAGGCACTGCCAAATCCAGGAAACGGCCCGCTTGGGCAAGCCTGGAAAGGCCACAGCAGCTCAGCTTTGGTGGGAAGAAGGCACTTCCAGCCGCTCACCTGCCAGCACCAGGCTCTGCTGCACTGGAGTCAAGTGGAGCTCTGAAGGCTTCTGAAAATGGAAGGAGGGAGAAAAGGAGACGCCTGACATCGCCATCCAGCCTGCCCCATGGCTAAGGCGAGAGGTTGCAAGCTTCCCCGGCTAGTATTTTTATGTTATTTTTGTGGGCTTTATTCCGTTTTGTGAGTCATGCAGAGTCATGTGTATGCATTGGCAGCAACCTTTGAAATCAGGCCTTTCTCCAGTTCTGCTGAACAGAACTGGGGAAAATAACCACGCACACCCCATTGGGCGGTGACTCAAATTCACGGCTGAGGGTTTCGTTCCCAGAATTTCCATGGGAGGCGCCCTCAAAGAAAAGGAAGACTTGAGTATTTTCACGCCGGATGGGTAGCTGAGTAGTCCAGGCACATCTGGAGGCCATCAGATAAGGAGGCTGGTTTCCAGAAGACGGGAAATAATCCGCCGAATGCCGGATTTTGAAATTCATTTTTATCTCGCCTCTAATGCTTTACTCACGGCAGCCAACCTACCAAATCCTCCTCCTATTTTCCCCCGTAACAACCACCCTGTGAGGTGGGTTCAGCTGAGAAAAACGGGATTGGCCCAAAGTTACCCAGCTGACTTTGGCTAAGGTGGAACGAGAGGCGAGGCTCTCCTGATTTCTAGCCTCTGCCCGTATCCCTTCTGTCCCTAATGGGGAATCAAGGCGTAAACGAGGAGCTTATGAACCAGCCCTAGTGGGATAGGGAGGTACACCCACCCAACATAAACTCTGCCAACCAGCTGTAAACCTGAGTGGGAAGTGAGGGCTGGCCACGAAGGATCTAAGGACTGCATTCTTTTAAGCTGGCCTTTCCCTGATGCAGCCATGGGTTCAGGGGTGGGATTCTACCGGTTCGGGCGTACTGGATGTTAAATTTACATCTGGTTCACTGACCTGATAGTTGAACCGACCGACTGGCTGGCCCCACCTACCCCGCCCCTCTGGAGGGCCTCCGGACCCCGGGGGAGGCTGCTTTCGCCCTCCCAGAGGCCCGAGGGAAGCCTCCGGACCCCGGGAAAGGCGAAAAAACAGCCCTCCCCGGAAGTTCCGGTAGGCCACGCCCACCCAGCACCCGGGCAGCGGTGGGATTTTTGAATCCCACCCCTGCATGGGTTTCCTTTCAAATCCTGGAAGCTGATAAAAGGGAGACACTCCGGCTTTGTGGCCAAGTGAAACCATCGGCTTGCTTTGCAAGGACAGCGCAAAAGGCGATATCTGTGGAAGAGGCTTCAGGGATCTCACAGCGCGGAACAACATAGAGAAAAGAGCAAGTCAAATGCTTCCGGAACCGGAGAAGCATCGGTCTTAGGAATCCTAAGAGCCACTTTTTAGGTTCTTAGCTTTGGTCAAAGGGTGGCCGGCCGATCAACGCATACGTGGCATGGGGAAATTAGAAGCCTTCCCCCCACCCCCCACCCCTTCCCAGTTCTACAGCTCAGGGCATATGAGTAAACTGGTGAGCGAATGGCGACATCTTACAGCGACTAAAGAGAGTCACGTCCTAAAAGCAAGAGCGCCGGCTACACCACCACATGGGATCACAGAAAAATGGGCATTGACGGCTGCCAGTCAGAGACGCTCCCTTTAAATCAGCGTGTGGCAGACAGGAAGGGAAGAGGGTCCCTGCCCTGCTTGGAGAGGGTGCCAGGCTGGCTCCCTTCGGAAAAGCCGGACGGGCCTGGAGAGCGCTTTGGCCCACCATCGGAACACGAGTCCTCACCTCTGCCTTTGGCTTCGTCTCTGCCTTCTGAGTCTCCCTGGGTTTTTTCCCTTCCTTCTCCTTCCTTGGGAGCAGAGACCGGGCGTGTACCTTGCGGCGAGCTTTGGAGACAAAAGTGCTGGAGAAATCCAGGTCATCCTGTGGGCAAGAGGCGGAAAGCAGCAAGCTCAGAGACAGTTCTCTGGAAGGAAAACCAGCACTGCCACCCCCTTACGGGATACCCAAAGCTGCGACTAGCATGGCCAAAGCCATCTCGCTTGCAGTGCTAATGGCTTGGTGTTGGCTGGCTGGTGGAAAATAAGCGTTTCCTCCTGCTGCACTCTAAGGTAGGGATCAAACAAAGACGACACACGGGACCGGATACCTTCAACGCGCCCCCCACCCCGCAAATCAGTCGAAATCTCAGCCTCCTTGTGGACTGCTTTTCTCCTGTCCACTCACCGGCCCAGCCTCACCTCTGCCGCCTCTACCTCCTCCATACTGCTGCCGGGGCTCCTGTCTGGGGAGGCCTCATTAAAACTCCCCTCCGAGTCAGGGAGACCGTCACACAAAGTTCCCTCATCTTGTCCGGCCGAAAATTTATTCTAGGGAGAGCAAAATAAAACCTTGAAGGATCTAGAAATTAACCGGCCAGCTGGACAAATCTGCACGGTCGGAAACCAGCACAATCTTCTCGGATCTCTTGTCCGAGCAAAGCGATTGGCTGGAGTGCCCTTACCACAAGGCTGGCACGGAGGGTGATTTCCCAATCGGGGCTACTCTCTTCTGATTAGGGTTGAGCTCCCACCCCACCCACTGCAGGCAGGAGTGCCCACTGGGCACAGCTGCCAGCGCAGCCAGGGGATTCACTCACTGTCTCACTCTTGGCCTTTAGCTCCAAGTTCCGCTTCTCCTGCCTCTTCCGGTCCTTCTGTCTCTGAGGATAAGCAGACAGCATCAGGTTCCCCAGCCACTCAGCTCCCCCCTTCCAAGAGGCAAACAAGCCGCGCTGGCACGGCTACCTTCTTCTTCATCCTTTTCTTCTCAGCCTTCTTCTTGAGGCGTTCCTCCTCAGCGACCAGCAATTTTGCATTCCGCTCAGCCTCCTGAAAGAGAACAGGGACCAGCCTCCTCACCCACCTGACCTCCTGGCACACTACTGACTCCCAGGAGCAGCCAAACAAGGAACCGATGGGAAGGACCCCGTGGACCAAGGGCTACACCTGGCCATTGACTGGCACCAAGGATAACCTGCCAGTAAGTAAGCACCACCACCGTAGAAACAGATTTCGCGAAAGAAAAACCACAACAATGAATGGGATTCTTCCTTAAGAAGGCCACAACGTTTCACGTTTTAAAAATGTTTGATTCAGCAGCAGTTTCTGGAACCCTCTGGGAAGTGGCCTTGCTTCGATCAATAGCTATCAGGGAATGTGGTAATTCCGACCCGGGAGCTTTACAAAGGGGACGCAACTCAAATAAGCACTGACTCACCTCAGCTGTAAGTTGTGGTTTCTGGGGCAATGCCGAGCCCAAAAGAGCAAGGTCCAAATTGCTGCTTTGGGGAGGGAGAGGGAAGGAAGGTGGGGAAAGAAAGGCCCTCTGAAAACCAGAGAATGTGGTGTAAGGACCATTCTGAACTTCGTCGTTGTCGCTGTCTTCTTCTGCTTCCTCAATGATGTCTTCCAAGATCTCATACCTGGCATAGTTAATCATCCTACGCCAGTAGAGCTCTTCATTCAAATCTGAAAGGGGACCACAAGAGGCTAGAGTAAGCAAGACGGTAGTTTATCTGACTGAAATCTTGAGGCCATCCTCAGCCATCCAGTGTTGCACAAAAAATGTGCATCTGACCTTGGACAGGGAAGGCAAGGTCCAAGCATTAGAGACTCCCCCGCCCTCCCAGAAAGTGGAAAGGCTGAGAAAGAAGATCGGTCAAAATAATCCTGCCTCTTTTGTTTTGTTTAGCGGACTATGGGAGACAGAAACTTGGGCAAGATTCTCGGCCGTGCTTGAAGGGCAGACACCAACCTGGAAAGTCTGTATGAACATTCATAAAGCCTTATTCATAAAGTTGAATGAAACAGCATAGTCCAGGGGTTTCCAAACTTGGCCACTTTAAGACTTGTGGACTTCCAACTCTCAGAACTGAAGCTGAAGTCTCTGGGAGTTGGAAGTCCCACAAGTCTTAAAGTTGCTAAGTTGGGAACTCTTTGTCTAGGATTATGATTACTTCTTTATTTTTATCCTGCCTTTATTATTATTTTTAAATAAATAACTTGAGGCAGAGGACATATTTAATACTCCTTTCTTCTCCTATTTGCACAACAACCTTGTGAGATGAGAAGTTTGGGGACCCCTGGTATAGTTTCTCGGCACCAAGAAACCCCTTTATTACTTTGGGTTGTTGAAACAAGCCAAGCAATTCCCAAAACTGGGCACTGAAACACTCTTCTGGGCTCACCTGTGAATGAGATCCCCCTGAAGGCATTTTCTGCTTTCATTTTCTGCACCTGGGTTACCTCCCCGCCCCCTCCAGGATTATCCCAGTTATTCTTTGGCTTGTTCCCTCCCCTTCTCCGGTTCTAAAAGGTCCGGGAGCCCCCCAGGGCCACATTCACAGCCTGCTGCCAGTCGACCTTATGCAGCAGGGAGGGTTCAAAGCGAACCGATTTCTATTCCACCTTGGCTTTCCGACCGAGCCCGAGGCTGCCGACCCGCCGCCTCTTCCCCCACCCCCGCGTCCGAGTCCGCCCCAAAGACGACGCCCGGGGCTCTCCGTGGCTTCCCTGCTCCCGGCGAGCGTCTCTCGCCTGTCTCGGACGGGCCAGCCCCGCAAGCCCCCCGCCCCGCTTGCCTCCAGCGAACGTCTCCCCCCACCCCGCCCCGCCCGCCGCTCACAGGGGCAAGCCTGGCCCCGCCACGACCGCTCCCACTGCCGGACATAGACGGCTCTCCTTCACCTTCCTCCTCCTCCTCCTCCTCTCCTTCTTCTTCCCCGACCGCCAGCCGCTCCATGATCCCGCCGAGGTGGGCGGCGCCGCTGCGGCGCCTCCCGAGGGTCCCTCTGGCGGAGATAAACGGCGCGGGCCGCGACGGCCTTCCCTCCGGAAGCGGAATGAGCGGCCTCCTTCCGGCAGGCAGCAACAGGCCACCATCTTGGGTGGGCGGGGGCCGACCGCGTGGGCGGGGCCAACTGCGTGAGAGGCGGGGCTTTCAACCATTCTCGGGATTCCTCTGACCAAACCTGGCCACTTTTAAGACATGTGGACTTCAACTCCCAGAATTCCCCAGCCAGCACTGGCTGGGGAATTCTGGGAGTTGAAGTCCACATGTCTCAAAGTGCCAAAGTTTGGAGACTACTGAGCCGAAGGGCGGATCGGGGCCTTTCCTAATTGAAAGGCTCTGCCTAGCAAACTGGATCAGGGGCTTGCGAGGGAGAGCTTCCCTGACCCATTCGGCCGCCAGCAGGAAAACCAGGGGAACGAGCGGGTGGAATGAGCCCCTGGTGTCTGCCCGAGGGGCTTCCACTGCAAGGAGCAAGGGTGTTTTTTCCCCCCAATGCGTTCTGCAGTTGGCACCACATTCGGGGGGGGGGGGGGGGCACCGGGCATGAGATACTGCTGCTCGGGCGGGGGGGGGGAAGGGAAGGGGGGCACAGGGGGGGGGGATGGAGGGGAGATGGGAGGAAGCGGAATGCTTGGGAACATGAGTGGCTTAAACATGTAAGACAAGTCTTCAAACCTGGCAGTTTTAAGACTTGTGGACTTCAACTCCCAGAATTCCTCCTCCAGTCATGTTAGCTCGGGAATTCTGGGAGCTGAAGTCCACAAGTCTTAAAACTGCCAGGTTTGAAGACCCTTGATCTATCATCTATACCTGTCTGTCTATTGTCCATCCATCTGTCTGTCTGTCTGTCTGTCTATCATAAGGGCCTTCATACTTGGCAACTTTAAGACTTGTGGACTTCAACTCCCAGAATTCCTGAGCTAACATGACCGGAGGAATTATGGGAGTTGAAGTCAACAAGTTTTAAAGCTGTCAAGTTTGAAGACCCCTGATGTAAGATGAGCAAGGTGGCTGCAGGTTCTTCGGACTACATGGGGGCAGGAGGGAGCTTCTGCTGCTTTTAACGGGGGCTCCCTGGTTCTGCACCCTGGCTGGACTTCCACCTGCCCGGAGGCCTCGTAGCCGCCCCTCGCTCAGCCCCGCAACTCCAGTTTGAAACTTTCTCTCGGGGCACGAAAGGCAACAATAAAATCTACAGAGGTATCAAAACTTGGCCGCTTTAAGACTGGTGGACTTCCACTCCCAGAATTCCTGAGCTAACATGACAGGGGGAGGAATTCTGGGAGTGGAAGTCCACCAGTCTTAAAGCGGCCAAGTTTGGGGAACCCCCTGCTCTAAAACGCAGAAGCTACGAAACCTTCCGGAAAACCAGCCTCGCAGCACCCGGGCCGCCAGGCGAGGGGTCGTTCATCCGTGCTGACCCAGGCCACCCTCCGGCCCCCACATAGGGTGGAGGGGGAGCCTCCCGCTGGCCGCGCCCGGCTCGGCTCGCCTTGGCCCGGCTCTCCGCCACGTGACTGCCGGCCGCCCCGCCCCTGGAGCCGAGCCCCACCCCACCCCCGGCAACGGCGCTCCCGGCTCCTCCGGCCGAAGGGGCATCTCCCAGCCCCTCGGGGCCTCCCCAGCGCCTCCCATCTCTCCCCGGAGCCCCCGCGGAAGAGGACGCCGGACTATGGAGCATTGGCGGGACCCCGAGCCTGGTAGGTAGGCCGAGGTGGGGAAGCGGCGGGGGCTGCGCGCCGGTCTCCGCTGGCTCCGACGCCGCCGGTCAGAAACCTCCGGCTGGAAGCGCGGCGGGGACCCTTCCGCCTTCTGGAAGAGCCCCGGCGCGGGTTGCCTTGGCCGCCTTCGGGGTGGGGGTGGGGGTCTCTGCTGCCCCGGGGCTCCCGTTGTTTTCTCCTTTGGCTCCCCCGCCGGGAAGACTGCTTGTCCGGGAGGCCTTCCCTGCAGACCCCCGGCCAGAGCATCAACAGTCGGGGAGAGGCGGGTCGGAGGGTGCGGGGTCTTGAAAGCAGCTGCTTTGTGGTGGGGAGGGGGTGGGAAACCCCAGGAGGGGCTGTAAGCACCCCTTGTTCTCTCCACAGGGTCGGGTTTGTGGGCAGAGATCGCCGGACCTTTCCCGGGGGCTGAAGTGCCTTTCCCCGCCCATGTGCACCCAAGCCAGCATCCCCTGCCTCTGGCTCAGCCTGGCAGCCCAGCTCAGGAGGAGGAGGAGGAGGTGCCCGGTGGCCTGCCCTGCCTTGCCCAAGCGGACAACGCCTACCTGGGGATGAGCTCCAGGCTCCGCACACCAGGCCTCCAAGACCCGGCCAGGGGTACTTTCTTCTACTGGGCCAGGTGGGGCAATGTGGCCCGTCAGCGCAAGACAGTGGAGGGCCTCCTGCAGCAACAACATTGCTTGTGCCTGGCTCGCCACTACTGCCGGCGCCTGAAGGCGGCTTCGGACTTTGTGCGCCGCTTGATGGAAGCCGAGCGACGTTTTGTGGCGCCTGCTGGCAGGCAGAGCTCTGACGGGGCCTGGCTGCTGCGGGGACTCTGCCAGGAGCTGCGGGTGCACACCTCTCATTGGGGCTGCCTGCAGTGCCACCTGCGCAAGGACCCCTGGCTGAGGCCCCTGCTGCTTCGGCAGCCTGAGGCGGTGCAGCGCATGAAGTGGTCCCTCGGGCTGCTGGCTCTGCAGGCGCTCTGCCTGCTGGAGAGATGCTTGGAGGCCGTTCTGCAGCACTGGGCCTGTGGGCCACTCCCTCTGCTCTCAGAGGCCTTCCGGGGCCTGGAGAGCTATAACCAGGGGCTGAGTGAGTGGGGCCTGCAGGGAGCCAAGCCGGGGCCAGGAGCTCCAGGGCAACAGGGGGTACAGGCTTTCTCTGTGGAGAGGGTGCTGGCCGTCTTGGCTGCCGAAAGAGGACGCCTGGCTGGTGACAGGCTGGCTCTGCTGCTGCCTTGGCAGCAGGCAGGGACCAGCGACCCGAGGCTCACAGCCGCTGACGCTTCCGGGGCGGGCGAGGATCTCCCTGCACACCTGCAGGCCTTGTGCCGAGAGGAGGAGGAGGCGGTCATGGAGCTGCTGCCAGGATTGCTTGCGTCCACTGGTGGCCTGAAGCATCGCCTCCTGCACCGGCCCAAGCAGGACCAACCCCAGGGGACCCCCGGTGCAGCCCAGGGCCTGGCCCCTACCCCACTGCCCAGCTGGAAGTCTTCTGATCGGCTGGATGCCTCCTTCGCCGAAGCAGCTGCGATGCTCTGCACTGAATACCGACCCCTCTTCTGGAAAGTGGCGTCGACCTCCTGGGTGCGCCAGCTGGAGCTCCAAGCGAACCAGGCTGAGTGTCAGAGGGGAGCCGGGGCTGCCCTGGGCCAGCGGGTGACCAACAGTCTGGTGGAGGGTAGGTCAGGCACGGGGGGGGGGAGGGCAGGGAAGAGTGCCGGGTGCTGGCCGGGTCGGCGGGATGGTGGTGGTCAGATGTAGGCAGCTCCGGAGGTTTCTGCAGGACCTTGAAATGCCTCCTTGGGCCCTGGCTCTGCCCTCTGAGGTCTGCCCTAGCCAGGTGAAGGTTGGACCTTCAAGAATTTGGACGCGTAAGAAATATAGCGTGGGCAGCAGGGTTCCCATTTTCTGGAGGGATTTTTTTTCTTGCCAGTGGACTTATTTTGTGGGATTTTTTTTTCTCTCTTGAGGGGATTTTGGCCTTGCTCGGTACGTGACACTCAAAACCAGTGGTGGGATTCAGATTTTTCTACTACCGGTTCTGTGGGCGTGGCTTGGTGGGCGTGGCAGGGGAAGGATACTGCAAAATCCCCCTTCCCTTCCCTCCCCTTCCCACCCCACCCCACTCACCTGCTTTCCAGCCCCATTCTCCTGTGCAGAGCAACCAAAAAAGACCCAGCCAGTCAGCTGGGACTCAACAGGAGGCGGAGAAGAGATGGGGTTGGCGGGGCCAGTCAGAGGTGGCATTGGCCAGTTCTCTGAACTATTCAAAATTTCCCCTACCGGTTCTCCAGCACTGGTCAGAACTGGCTGAATCCCACCTCTGGTCCCAACCTTGCCTGCTCTCAGACTTTCCACCTGCCCCATGAAGTGGCTTCTGTCGTCTTTTGAGCCGAGGCTTTGCCTCCTGCGAGACTGAAACCCCCGGGAATGTCTCTTTCTCTAGCTTGCCTGCCTGCAGAGGCTGCGGAGGAACTGAAGGACGTGGCCCTTCGCCTGCTCAGGCGTGATGCCCTGTGGCAATGGGACCCAGGTAGGGTCCTCGTCAGGAGTGGCGGGGCTGTGGGCCCTCTGGGCTTGGGATGGCTCAATTCCCACCCTGTTTGGGAGCCACCCGGGTGACTGAGGCAGGGAGATCTGCATCCTGACCCCCCTCTCGGCCCAGGGTTCTGCCATGCTCTGGGTACCAGCCTTGTGGACAGGTGCTTGCCCAAGCCCACGACTGTGGCCTGCAGCCAGACAGGGAAACTTTTGCGGAGCCTCTTCCTGCTCCTGGCCTTCTGCATGAGATGCCTGGAGAGGCAGCCTTTCCATGGTGGCCCAGGTAGGCCTTTCAGCTTGTTCCTGGCCTTGCTGCTGAGGGGAGGCAAGCGGGGTGAGTGGGTGGGTGGGCTCTTTGCCAGCTGAGCTGGTTCTTCTTTCCCAGGGCAGCGCCTGGTCCTTGCCAGCCTCCACCTGTGCCTGCTTTCCCTCGCGGTGGCTACCTGCCATGCCTCTTCCTACTGGACCATGAGCAAAGCCTACCAGTACTTGGCCTCCTGGTCCCTCAGCCAATTCCTTCTTGTGGCCCAAGGGGATTTGCAGGCAAGCACCTTGAACCCGAGCCCTCCTGGCCTGGAGCTGACACAAGCAGTCAGCCTCCGTCTCCCTTGGTTTGTATCGTATCCAACGGAGCCTGGAAAGAAGGCCTTCCAGAACTCATCGTCTCAAAGGCAGGGGTTGTTGTTGGGCCTTGCCATGCAAGGGTCCCTGAAGAAGTGGAGCGGGGGTTCTGGGGGTTGAGACGAGAAGGCTGCCTGGGCGCCCCAAAGGAAGCTCCTTGTTGTCACCTGCAAGGACAGAAGCCTTTTTTTTTTTTCCTTGCAGCTGCTGAAAACGGAAGCCAGGAAGATGTTGGTGCTGGTGAGCAGGGCCTTCTTGGAGGACAGGTGGAAGCAGAGCCCTTTGGCCTTTCATCGGGAGCGGGAACTGAGCCTGCGAGTCCATTCGGCAACTACCAGCATCCAAGTAAGCCTTGGGCCTGGCAGAGCCGGGGCGAGGAGCCCGTGGCCCAGGAAGGCTGTCGAACAAGGCTACTAGGGCTATTGAGGAGTCCAACAAGGTCAGGAGATGCCGCCATAGGCTTCCCCACCCTGTTGTGCAAGAACCCTGGTCCTAGGACGCCCTAGCAGGCCCACAAGGATGCTTGAAAGTCAGCTCTGGTCTCCATTGCTTGAACGAGTCTCCGCTATTTCGGCGGAGTCAGAAACTCCACGTTGCTCCCGTCCAACCTCTCCTCTTCTTCAGGGCAGCAGAGGGGCAGTCTGCCTAGCAGGGTCTGCTTCACATAGTTATTTGTGGGCGAAGGGCCTCCGGAGATGCCCTTAATCCGATGGCATCTTCGGCTCCTTTGGCTGGCCAGTTTGTGGGGTGGGCGGGCAACTGAATGCCCTGGAGATGCTGGTGGGCCTCGACCGGAGAATGAGAGTCCCCTCCCGTCCCCGGTAACCAGCGTCGTCAACCTTGTAATTCACGGCACAGCAACCGTGATCCGTGTGTAATCTAGGGGCGGGGCGGATTAGGGGCATGAGAGGCTGCACATGGCACCCTTTTCTCACCCACAGCTTTTTGCCAATGACGTGCTGGAGTTGTTTTGTCTGGACTGCAGACGCGTGTCAGCCGAGGTCTTTGGACAGGCCATGCCGCTTGGCAAATACTGGCGCCTTGCCCTGCAGGCAGGTACGTGGGAAGGGGGGGGAGTTGGCAGAGGGCCAGGCCCTCTCCTTGCAAGGACAGGCACTGGCGGTTCACTCAGGCTGGCCAAGCCTGTTCCTCTGAGCTGGCAGGAGGGTGTGAACCTCCTGGCATGTGCGCTTCTCCTTCAAACAGTGGGGGGGGGGGGGGCGGCCCCCCCCAAAGGGCGGGGGGGGGGGGGGGGGGGTGGCGGCCCCCCCAAGGGGCTGGGGGGGGGGGGGGGGCAGGGTACTGAAGAGGGGCAGCAGCCCTTGCCCACCTCTGACTGTCGCTCTGTCCTCCCCTGCCCCGCCCTTGCAGAACCACCCTCCGCTGGCAGCAAGTATGCCCAGGCTGCGGCCCAAGCCATCCTAGCGCCGGTCCTGCAAGGTGTCCGGTGGCTTTCCCAGGATTCCCAGGCTCTGGTCCTCAGCCGGGTCACAACGGCCTTCCTGGAAGTCTGGATGGAGCACATCCTGGCCCAGAAGATCAAGTTCAGGTGAGTTGGCCCCTGCCGGAGGGGCCTCAGGCTGGGCCGGCCAGTCGGGCCCTTTGCCGACTGACCCCTTTCAGCCTCCAGGGAGCCCTGCAGCTGAAGCGGGACTTCGACCTGGTGCGGGAAACCCTGCAGTCGGAGGAGTACGAGCTGCCTGCCGAGGTGAAGCAGCTGGTTTCCTCCCTCCGGGCCTTCCAGCAAACGGACAACGCCGTCGCTTGCCTCCTCCAGCAGCCCAGCAAGGGCACCTTGTCCTCCTGCAGCTGGGACGCCCTGCAAAAGTGCTGTGAGTGATGCCAGGGGGTGGGAGAGAGGCAGAGCTGTGGGGGGGCGGGGTACCCCTCCTTCTCATCCGCATGGCCCTGTGGAAGGGGGGGGGGGCGCTCGCTTGGCTAGAGTGGAGTGGTCGAAGGCTGGGATTTGGAACCTCCCTTGTGTGGGACCAGGCGTCCCGGTGCAAGGACTCCTTAAGTGCCCACCACTCCATGCCTGCCATGGCTGGCGCCCTTTGTCCTGCTGCCTCTGAGCTGAGTCCTCCCCGCCACCTCTTCCTCTGCTCTCCAGGCTCACGTGATGGGATGCGGTCCTGGCATGGCAGCCCAGGCAGTCTGAGCAACCTGGAACACCTGGAAGGGCTGCCCGTCCGTGCTCGAGCTGGGCCAGAGAGCTGGGCGGCTGACTTGCTGAGCCGTGCCCCGGGAGGTGGCACAAGCTCCGAGACCTACCTGAGCCTGGCCCAGCAGGAGTGGCTGGCGCTGCGGCTGCACGGGGCCCGCCGCTGGAGGATGCCCGCCCTCTCCTGCATGGACCACCCCTCGGAGGCTTGATCCCACTGGGCCTCCAGACCCTGATCTCGGCCTGCCCTCCCTCCTTCTGAGCTGCTGGGCCTTCCGGCCACCCTAGTAGTGGGGGCTGGGGGCTGGGGCGGGTGGGAAGGAGCCCAATCCCACAAAGGCCTTCCTTGGCTTGGCAACATTCTGCAACAGCCCCCCCTGCCCCCCAGCAATGGGCAACCCCGATTTGGTATAGGAGCCACAGGAAGCAGCCTCTTGCTCTGACTTGGAGCCATTCCTCGTCCTGGCTGAGCCTTATTCAGGACAAGGGAGGCTCGGCTGGGCCGTGGTGCACAGTGGGGTCAACTGGTCTGGTTCTCAAGCAGAGCAGGAAGTCAGGTAAGGGGCTGTTCCTGCAGGACCCCCCTTTTCCCCCCCATCCTCTTGGTTCTGTTACCCACTCCCCTTTAGGGGGCACCTGGGACTGGGGTGCTAGTAAGTGCAATTGGGGCATTTCTTGGGGTGTTTGGGAGGTGGGGGAAGAGGAGGCCTGCACAGGTGAATCGAAGCCCTGGCCACCTCCATCGCCTGCCCAGCCTGCTTTGAAAGAGACAGGCAGATGCTACGTCCTTGGTCCCTGTTTTGGCTTCTGTGAGGCCAGGCTCTCTCTCCTCAGGCAGGGACCTGAAGGTGCGCCATTTGTCCTCAACCCTCAACATCCTTTTCTCGCTTTGGCCCCTCGGCGTCTGACTATCCAACCTCTTGAGGCCTTAACAAAAGCTGTTGCCACTCGGACATCAGAAAGCCCTGGGTGGCTGCTGGTCTTTTTGAAGTTTTTGGCCGCAGTTTGTCTCTACGCTCTCGCTGGGTTGCTGGAGGAGGCAGGCGCCAGCCCAGGCAGGTGTCCCGATCCTCGGGAGCGGGGTGGGGGACTTAGGGAAGCCCCTTCCTGCCCCGAAGGCTCCAGGGGCTGGTTGTCAGGGACACATTTTTGGAGGCCTTGGCCAGGCAGAAGCGGATTGCTGATTTCTACATTCATCTCGTGTGAAAGACGAAAGGCTAAAAGAAATAAAGGCCATTATATACCTCACAGCTTCCCAAGGTGGTTTGTTCTATAGTATCTCTCTCCCCGGGGAAATCTGGTGGGGGTTTATTTTCCCGGCTGATTTTGTTATATGAAGTCAGCCTGTGGGATTCGTTCAGAGGTTGGAATTCAGCCGGTTCTGGCGGACTGGTAGCGGAAATTTTGACTGGTTCAGAGAAGCAGCAAATACCACCTCTGGGTGGCCCCGCCACGCCCCTTCCAGGAGTCCCCGTTTTGGCTCCTAGGTAAGTGTAGGGAGGCTTACTAGGCCCAAAACGGGGCGTGGTGGGGTAGGGTGCGGCACAGCCCCTCCGCGGCCTGTGTCTGCTCCCAGGAGGCTGCAGGGAGGCTTACTAGGCCCAAAGTGGGGCACGGGTGTGTGTGGCATGGACCCCCGTGGCCTATTTTTGCTCCCAGGGGGGTGCAGTGTCTGTCACACCCCTGGCCATGACCATCCAGCCAATCATTAGGGCAGAGAACCGGTTAAATTATTTGAATCCTAGATTCATTGTTTGTTTGGAAATAAGCAATCAGCAGCCAAAACTTCCAAGAGAAGACCATGGTAATTTTGTTCTTCATTTTGCAAAGCGGGTGGACCATGCACACACATCAATACATTTGCCTTATATTCCCTAGCCCAAATTTACCTCCCACGTCCTCTTAGTGATGCCACAACACTCTATCCAAAGTGTCTAAAATGAATACATTATTTCAACTCCTGATTACTTCTCTAATTCCATCTTCCCCTCCCTTTACTTATAAATTTCCTTTTATGGTCCTAGTTCCTAGCGGGTTGTCTCTAGAGTAACTATCATATCAGTAAATTCTTGTTATGACTGGTTTCTGGCACAGCAGAGGCCTCTAATCTTAGCTCCTACACACAATTCTCAAGATTCAGCCTAGCTCATGAGATTAGGAAGATATACAATGTATTTTGTTCGCAGCCCAACATGACCTCTTACAGTTCTGTAACAATACAACTCCTGTTTCTCACAAGCCTATGGTTAGTTTATGGTTTGGTGCAACGTGCAGACACAGAACACGGGTTAAATGTATGCGCTGCAATTGCAGCCCTATTCAATCTGAGTCTGAACCTTGTAAATTTCCTGAATATTATTGATAGAAGTTGATCCAGCAAGACTGAACGTGGCAGGCTACCTGTTGTAGTTTGCCAGCAGCCTGTGCAGACGGCAGTGGAATCGGACAGTGGGGAAGAACAGGGACCAGTCCGGGAGTCTGGGGAGGACTCGGATGAGGGTCCTGCATCCGATACAGAGATGGAGCCAGGACCATCTGGGAGTTATGTGGCGACACCAGAGCTTTTAGAATCTGGCAGCAGTGAGGCCGAGGAACAAGGGGAGCTTGTTCCCAGTGTGCATGTGCACAGAGCTGCTAGAACGGGTGACTCGGGAGTAAGGCTAGGAGGTGATTGCCCCTCCCATAAGGTATAAAAGACAGGAAAAGGTGAAAAAACCTTTGCAGGAAGCAACCTCATTCACTCTGATTGGTTTGGACTCTGAAAGCTCCATGGTGAATTTGTTCTCTGGTTTTGGAAAGACTAATTGGGACTTTAGCAGTTGGCAGCACTTCAAGTAAGGTATTGTTAACCCTTCAATGCACCTTGTATCATATAAATATGTGATACGTATATGCAAATATGTTTAATTTTATCAACCATTTACCTGTTTATTCCTGTGAATAGTTGTCTTGGCGCCCCCAGTAAATTCTGGTTTGCCTGCGGCCCATAATAGAATAGCAGAGTTGGAAGAGACCTAAGAGGTCTTCTAGTCCAACCCTCTGCTTAGGCAGGAAACCCTATACAGCTTCAGACAAATGGTTATCCAATATATTTTTTTAAAAAATTCCAGTGTTGGAGCATTCACCATTAATGCCATTAAGGGAGGGCGAGGGAGCGAAGCCCGTGAAGAAACCGGAGATGGTGGCCGGACGAAGCGGCCCCGCTTTCCTGACCCTCCCGTGGAGAAAAGCTGCCGTGGGGAGGTTGGGGGTCTCGAGCGCTGCCCACCAGGCTTCCCCCATGGCTGGCTGCGGGGAATTGCGGGGGTTCGAGTCCTTCAAAAGCCCTTGGCCTTCTGCCTGAAGAACCGAAGAAGCTTCTTGGATGAGAAGCAAAACGCCCTCAAGGAAAAAAAAAAAAGGTCCAGTTGCCTCTTGAAGGGAAAAAAACAGTGGACGACGCAGACTGGGAAAAGGGCTGTGCCGCAACCGGGCCAGGCCGCAACCGGCGGAGCGCCCCCACCCATCTGAGGCCAAGGAGCCCCCGCAGCGAGAGCGGCTTCTCGGGGCAGCCACGGCCCGAGAAGCTCCCCCGCGGGAAAGCGCCACGCTGGCCGGACTACGAGTTCCGGCAGCCTCGGCGGCCGCCGGCCCCGCCTCTTCCGGGCGCCCTTCCGGCGCGGCGGCAGCAGGGCTTGAGCGGGGCGGGGCGGGGCGGTGGCGGTTGGCTGGATGGCCTCTCTCGCGCGCCTCGTGTCGGCCTCGGCCATCCCGACCAACTCGGGGGAGCTGCTACGGGGCGACAGCGGGCCCTTCCCGCCGGCAAGTACCCGCGGCCCCACCCCGCGCATTGGGCCCGTCCGGGCGGGGGCGGCTCCCCGGCCGCGGCGCTGCCATTGGCCGCCCTCCTGGCCGTCCCCTCCCCCCCACCCTCCCCGGGCGCCGAGCCAGGCCGGAACTCCGCGGGCGCTGCAGGGAGGCGGGACCCGGCCTGCTCCGTCCCGCCCAGGGGCTGCCCGGCGGGCCCCGATTCCCCGCGGCGGGCCCAGAAGGCGAGCGCCGGCCTCCCGCCCGGCCCCGCCCGGCCCCCGGGAGCTTCCCCGCGGCACCGTGACGCCTTGCTTGCCCCCCCCAGGTCCCGGGTCGCGCGGGCGGCGAGGCGGAGGAGGACGATGCGCTGGCCGAGGAGCTGGAGGAAGGGATCGAGGGAGAGGCGCAGCCGTGGAGCCTGCAGGAGAAGGCGCTGCACGACGCCCGGCTGAAGGCCAAGGGGAAGCGGCGGCTGCGGCGGACCTCCTCCCGCGATTCCCACCGGGAAGCCCTCCCGGAAAAGGGCGAGCCCTCGGAGCCGGAGCCCAGCAGCCCGAAGGGCAAGAACCACGACCGCAAGTCCCGCATGGGGAAGGGCCGCGGCCTGCCCAAGAAAGGTAGGGCGGCCGCCGGGCCTGTTCGCCGGGGGCGGCCCTGGAGCTCTGGGGGCGGCGCTGCCCGGGGGAGCAGGCCTGACAGCCCCCTCCCTCTTTCCAGGCGGGGCAGGGGGCAAAGGCGTCTGGGGAGCGCCTGGGGTGGTCTACAGCTACCAGGAGCCGGATGCCCGCGACCCCAACTACGACGAGGCTGCACAGGTACCACCTGGGGTGGCTGGGCTGAAGGCCTGAAGGCTCCCAGGCAAAGCTTGGAAGTCCCAGCTGAGCGGGTGAAAGGAACAAGAAGGCCCAGTCGGCCTTCACCCCCATCCCAAATCCTCCTCCTCCTTCCTGAGCCCCCCCACCCTTGGCCTGCCTGGAAAAGGCACTGCCTTGTGGGGTCCCTTTAATCGGAAGTGGGGAGACCCCCCTACTTGCCTCTTAGTTCTTCAGCAGGCTTGGTGCTCCCAGCCTCTCCTCCTGGCGGTCCGAGCTGAAGCAGACTTGGGCCGTGCCAATGGCCCAGCAGCTTCCCCCAGGTCCTGGTCTGAGGAATGGGCTCCCTGGATGAGGAGGAGCCGGAGAGGAAGCCCAGGAAGTTGGGGGGGCTTTAATGGCCACTGGACCTTTTTTTTTTTTTTAGGGGAAGACTGTCTATGCCACGGTGGTGCCTGAGCTGGAGGAAGAGGAGCTGGAGAAGACGGTGCAGCCGATGGTGCTGGAATATTTTGAGCATGGAGACACCCTGGAAGTCGTGGTGAGTCTTAGCAAGAGTGGAATCCACCCCCCCAGTACTTCCAGGCAGGGAACACCTCACCCCCCCTTGCAAGAGGGAGCCTCTGGACCAGGGGTCTCCAACCGTAGCAACTTTAAGACTTGTCGACTTCAACTCCCAGAGTTCCTCGGCCAGTTTTGCTTGGTCTTGGTGCAAATGCTCACAGTGTACATAAAAGAAAAGAGACATTCGTCAAGAGTCAAGAATCATCAGGTACATGACTTAATAATAGTCATAAGGAATCAAATCATACTAGGAAACACTCAGTAAAAATCGTTAGGATGCAAGCAACAAAATTACAGTCATACACAAGTGGGAGGGGATGGGTGATAAGGAGGATGAGAAGATTAATAGTAATAGTAATGCAGACTTTGTAAATAGTTGGACAGTGTTGAGGGAATTATTTGTTTAGCAGAGTGATGGCTTTCGGGAAAAAACTCTCCTTGTGTCTAGTTGTTCTGGTGTGCGTGGTTTTGAGGATAGAAGTTGAAACAGTTTATGTCCGGGATGTGAGGGGTCTGTAGATATTTTCACAGCCCTCTTTTTGACTCGTGCAGGATACAGGTTCTCCATGGAAAGGAGGTTGGTAGCCATGGCTTTTTCTGCAGTCCTAATTACTCTCTGGAGTCTGTGTCTGCCCTGTTGGGTTGCAGAACCAAACCAGACAGTTATATAGGGACCGATGAAGTTAAAGCTTCATAAAAAGCTGACTGGTTTCTTTTTAAAAGTTAAGTTTCCTTTTTTACATTTGAAAATTAAATAAAATTTTAAACATAGATGGTTTATTTAATTGGGTCACCTTCTCTGGAGCAGTTTGACCTGCTGTGTATTTTGGCCTTTTATTGGAATGGGTACCTCTGCGTTGTACAGGCCTTTTAAATCTTTGAAGATAATCTTGCCTTTAAGGTTTAAGCCCTTCGTGCAGGCAAGTAAACAAGCAGCATCTCTGCTGCCTGGAGAAGCCCTGGGAAGCATGGGGTGGGCTCTGGGGTCTCATCCCATGCTTCTCAGGGCTTCTCCAGGCAGCAGAGACGCTGCTTGTTTACTTGCCTGCACGAAGGCCGCACCCCAACTGTCGGAGGCAT